CAAAATGGAGCTAAAACAATCACCGTCCAGACTCTACATAGTCATATACAAACCTCCTCAGCACTGTCAAAGTTTTATTGATGATTTTACTGAGATGCTTTCAGTTGTTTGCACAGACTTTGATGGTTTAGTCATTACAGGTGATTTTAATGTACATGTGGATAATGTGTGGGACAAAAATGCCAAAGAGCTTAGTGTTGTCCTTGAAAACTTTTGGTCTGACTCAGCATGTCAGTGAGCCCACTCACAACAGAGGGCACACTCTGGACCTGCTCATTACAAAGGGTGTAAATATTTCAAATGTCAGTGTGGTTGATGTTGCTCTGTCTGATCATTTCTGTGTCTTCTTTGACCGTCTGTTATTCCCAAACCACCGGCTGCTCCTACAGTTGTTCGAAGGAGACACATAAAATGATCACACAGGTGCACTGTTCATGGAAATGATACATTTTGAAATTGCCTCATGTTCTAATGTTGATGATGTGTTGAACTCTGTGACTTTGAGTGTTTTGAATGTTCTGGATGCCATCGCCCCGATAAAGGTTAAAAATGGTTAAAGAGGCAAAAAGCTCCGTGGAGGAATGATGACTCAGTCAGGAGCACAGAAAAGGGAGTGACGGAAGTCAAACCTCCAGGTTCATTATGAGATTTACAGAGGAACAATGCATATGTACAACTACACTTTGAGTAAAACAAGAGAGAAGTATTTTTCAGACATTATTGGTAATTGCAGTAACAACTCTCGTGTCCTGTTTGCAACAGTGAACAGATTAACAAACCCTCCAGCTCCACTGCCACTAGAACTAATTTCCACATCTAAATGTAATGAGTTTTGCAGTTTTCTTTAATGACAAAGTTCAGGGCATCAAAAATGCCATCAATTCCACAACACAAATAACAAGCTGCAGCCACAGAGACACTTAGAGCTGAATCACTTTGCACCTGTAACTGACAAAACTGTTTTTAGAGATCGTTACCAGTCTGAGTTCATCTACTTGCTGCCTGGACATTAGATCTGCCACTAGATTTCTAAAGTCCGTCCTCAACAGTTTACTTTCACCACTCACTCACACATAGTTAACATGTCACTTCAATCTGGAACATTCCCAAACGCATTGAAAACTGCGGTCATTAAGCCTCTCCTAAAGAAGAGCAGTCTTGATGCCACAGTACTGAACAATTTCCGACCCATCTCAAATCTGCCGTTTTTTGGCAAAGTCCTTGAAAAAGCTGTTTACCAACAGCTTACGAACTTTCTCCAAATGAACAACTCCTTTGATGTTTTCCAGTCAGGTTTTAGAGCCACCACAGCACTGAGACTGCTCTTATCAAGGTGACAAATGACATCCGCCTGAACACTGATGCAGGCAAAGTCTCAGTCTTGATCCTGTTAGATCTGAGTGCTGCTTTTGACACTGTCGATCATGGGATCCTCTTACAGAGACTAGAGGACTGGGTGGGCATCTCTGGTACTGTACTAAACTGGTTCAAGTCCTATCTAGAAGACAGGAAGTATTTTGTTGAAATTGGAAACTGTGTCTCAGATGACATGGCCCTGACCTGTGGGGTGCCTCAGGGGTCAATCCTGGGCCCCCTGTTGTTCAATCTCTACATGCTGCCCCCTACAGGCCAGTTAATAAGCAGCAGTAACGTGTCCTACCTACCACAATTATGCAGACGACACTCAGATCTACGTCTCTCTGGCAGCAGGAGACTATGGACCAGTGGAGTCACTTGGTCACTGCATCCAACAGATCAGTGTGTGGAGGCAAAACAACTTTCTCCAGCTAAACTCTGACAAGACTGAAGTCATAGTGTTTGGTCCACAGAAACAAAGGGACAGTGTCAGCATCACCTCCAGTCTCTCGCTCTAAAACCTTCAAATCAGGCAAGAAAATGTAGAACATCCAGGGTAATAATGGACTCAGACTTGAACTTTAACAGCCACATCAAGTCAATAACATCTGCAGCCTTTTACCATCTAAAAAACAGAGCAAAAATCAAAGGTTTAGTGTCTAAATCAGACTTGGAGAAACTTATCCATGCATTTGTCTCCAGTAGATTAGATACTGTAATGTTCTGCTCACTGGTCTCTCCAAACGAGAACTCCAGTCCAGAGATCCAGAACATCCAGAACATCCAGAACATCCAGAACATCCAGAACATCCAGAACATCCAGAACATCCAGAACATCCAGAACATCCAGAACATCCAGAACATCAGAACACAGAACATCCAGAACGCTGCAGCTCGGGTCCTGACTCGAACTAGGAAGTACGAGCACATAAGTCCTGGTCTCAGGTCTCTGCTCTGGCTCCTGTGGCTCAGAGACTTTAAAGCGTCTCTGTTTGTACAAGTGTCTCCATGACCGAGCACCAAAGTCCATCTGTGACATGTTAGTGTCATATGAACATCTCACACTCTGAGGAGCTCAGGGACCAACTCCTGCTGGTGCCAGAGTCACGACTAAACAAGGGGAGTCAGAGTTTCAGGTTCATGCAGCTAAAACCTGGAACAGTCTGAACATGTGAGACAGACTCTTCTGTGACGCTGTTTAAATCCAGACTCTAAACATTTCTGTTTAACTGTGCAAATAACTGAAAGGTTTTCATTCCGCACTCTTCTCTCCAATTTATGTCTCTCTTTTTTAATTTTAATCTTCATGATTATTTATGTTTTGATTTGTTTTTATTATGATTTTAATGTATTTCTTATTCTGTAAAGCACTTTGAATTACTTTGTGTACGAATTGTGCTGTACAAATAAACTTGCCTTGCCAATTTTGTGGTGATAATCTAAAAACTTGAACTCCAAACTCTCCATTTGCACGATTTTAGATTTTAGATTTTAGAACAATCATATAATAAACAACGAAAACGAGTCTCGATTTAAAAAAAAAAACACCAACTCTATACATTCATTCTAAAATTGGATTCGCGCGGCCTCCAGGAGGAGACGCTCTTCTGCTTTAGTCCTGGTTTAGTCCTGGTTTAGTCCTGGTTTTAGACCTGGTTTAGTCCTGGTTTTAGACCTGGTTTAGTTCTATGGGTCCATGCGTCGTTAAACCGCCACCCGCCCGCGTTTACCGGTTTCTTCACCGTTAACCGTTAGCATTAGCTGTTCTGTCTGTTGTTGTAACAGATGAAAACGAACACAACGTGACCACAAGTTCACTTCACTTTAGTTTTATTTATTCAACCAATGTCTCCAACTATTCAGTCTCACGGGAACAGAAACCATATTTATTCACTTCCCACATGATGATGAAGCAAAGTGACGCTGAACTGCAGCCAACAGCACAAGTCAGATGTTTGGTGCAGTTCAGGAGGTTCAGGTGCTAAGCACCAGTAAAAACATCCAAGTGTGAGTCTCCACTCAGAGACATTATACAGCAAATACTAGTTTAAAACAGTTTACAAGTCACACTTTGTTTAGTAATGGTCCCACCTTCTGCAAAATATTAAAAAGATTTTGTAATATTAGTTATATTAATAAACCAGGACTAAACCAGAACTAAACCAGGATTAAACCAGGACTAAACCAGGACTTAAACCAGAACTAAACCAGAACTAAACCAGGACTAAACCAGGATTAAACCAGGATAAACCAGGACTAAACCAGGACTAAACCAGGACTAAACCAGGACTAAACCAGGACTAAACCAGGATTAAACCAGGACTAAACCAGGACTAAACCAGGATTTAAACCAGGACTAAACCAGGACTAAACCAGGATTAAACAGGACTAAACCAGGACTAAACCAGGACTAAACCAGGACTAAACCAGGACTAAACAGGATAAACCAGGACTAAACCAGGACTAAACAGGACTAAACCAGGACTAAACCAGGACTAAACCAGGACTAAACCAGGATTAAACCAGGACTAAACCAGGACTAAACAGGATTAACAGGACTAAACCAGGACTAAACCAGGACTAAACCAGGACTAAACCAGGATTAAACCAGGACTAAACAAGACTAAACCAGACTAAACCAGGACTAAACCAGGACTAAACCAGGACTAAACCAGGACTAAACCAGGACTAAACCAGGACTAAACCAGGACTAAACCAGATTAAACCAGGACTAAACCAGGACTAAACCAGAACTAAACCAGGACTAAACCAGGACTAAACCAGATCTAAACCAGGACTAAACCAGGACTAAAACAGTATAAACCAGGACTAAACCAGGACTAAACCAGGACTAAACCAGGATTAAACCAGGACTAAACCAGGACTAAACCAGGACTAAACCAGGACTAAACCAGGACCAAACCAGGACTAACCAGGACTAAACCAGGACTAAACCAGGACTAAACCAGACTAAACCAGGACTAAACCAGGACTAAACAGGACTAAACCAGGACTAAACCAGAACTAAACCAGGTCTAAACCAGGACTAAACCAGGACTAAACCAGAACTAAACCAGAACTAATCCAGATACTAAACCAGGACTAAACCAGGTACTAGATCAGGTATTACAAGGACTAGACCGGGACTAAATCAGGTACTATAATGTACTAGACCAGGACTAGATTCAGGTACTAGACAATCAGGTACTAGACTGGGACTAGACCGGGACTAAATCAGGTACTATAATGTACTAGACCAGGACTAGATTCGGTACTAGACAATCAGGTACTGGACTGGGACTAGACCAGGACTAAACCAGGACTAGACACATTAGGGCCGAGTGCAGAACAGTTTTTCTTTTGACTCATTTCACAGTTTTATTCTTAAAACCTCCACAAACTGAGAATTTTAGTTTTGAAAATCTTGTGATCCTGAAACAGTAAAGATTTTAATTATTATTATAATTATTATATTTCACATTTAAAATCATATTTCCAGTTGTTTTTTGAGTTTTTTTTTAATCTCCAGTTGTTTGTTGTGAGTTTTTGGTCCTGGTTCGGCTCGGCTCGGTTCGGCTCCTGACGCTCAACCGAATAAATCTAATGACAACTCTGCACCGCACTGCGCATGCGCAGGAGCAGCCCCACGCGCACATCATCCCCGCACGCGCGCACCACCTGGTCGGCTCCTCGTGACGGAGATCAAAGCAAAGCGCCTTTGGATTCGGCGCGAGACCCCCGCTCCTCCCGAACCGCGCGCGAGCCTCTCCCCCGACACCGCGCGAGGAGCCGCGACTGACACCGAGAAGAGCCGCGCTGAAGAAGAGCCGCTCCACCTCCGGCTCCCGCGGCTCCTCCGGCTCCAGCAGCAGGTTTTTCACTCCAGGAAGAAGTGAAGAGCGACATGGAGGAGGCGAGTTAGCGGAGGAATTTAACGCAGTTTGGAGCGAGTTTGGAGCGAAGAGACGCGGCAGAGGAGCGGCAGGAGCGCGGCGGAGGAGCGGCGGAGGAGCGGAGGAAAAGCCCCGCGTGAAGAGCCGAGGAACACCGGGGGGGGGGGACACAGGATGGGGCTGGACTGCAGCACGCTCCGGACCCTCATCAGCAGATACGTGAGTCCCGAAACGCACCCGACACCTTTTATTTCACGATGTAACCGCGCGTGAAAACGTCGAAACGAGGTCCGCGTTACGGCAGATTAGCGACGTCGGGGTTTCAGATTCCAGCGGAGCCGCCACGCACCTCCGGATTAAGTTTCACTCGCGGAAAATGAGCCGCAAAAACGCGAAAAGGAGCCGGGACACGCGGGTTAAAACTCCAACACGGACACAAACGCTCAAAAAACGTAGAATATTCGCCTTTTGACGCGTTCTAATCCAGTTTCGAGCGCGGAAAGTGGCCCGACGCACGGCACGCCGCTCATGGGATTAAAGTGTAATACCTTCGGAACGAGCTCAGGTTACGGCGTGAAAAAACTGTAATTGTGAGAGTTTTAAGGAGTGAAAAGGTCATTTGAGGTGGTTGGGTTGGACACAAACGTGGGAGAAGTCGGAGTGTTGCGTAAAAAAAAAAAAAAGTGCGGACGGACGAGTTTGGGCGCAAGTGACCGACAGCAAAACACGAAAGTCAAGTCAAGTAAAGTCAAGTCTGCCTGCGGGGTTTGGACTAATTACAACCGTCCACATTTTTCTGAGCTATAAATAAGTCAAAATGCCTCAAAATATCTTGGACTGTAAAATATTGTAAAATTAATTAATGTTTTTAGATTATTTTTTATTATAAACAACACGTGGGAATAATTAAATAAATAAATTCGATGTTTTAAATGAAAATATTTGAGTTTGTGTGAAGTGACATGAGACTCGGTTGTTTTGGAGGCCGTGCGGGTTTCACTCTGGACTGCGACTTCAAACTAGGACTGACCAGGACTAGACCCAGGGACTCTAAACCAGGTCTAAACCAGGTCTAAACCAGGTCTAAACCAGGTCTAAACAAGGTCTAAACCAGGTCTAAAAAAGGTCTAAACAAGGTCTAAACCAGGTCTAAACCAGGTCTAAACCAGAACTAAACATAGGATTTAACAAGGGACTAGACCAGGACTAAACCAGGTCTATAGACGCCCAGACCAGGACAAAGCAGGGACTAAAACAGGACCTAAGTGAGGGACTAAACCAGGACTAAACCAGGACAATAGACCCACAGTCCAGGACTGAAGCAGGAACTAAACCAGGACTAAGTCAGGACCTTAACACGGGACTAAACGTGGGACTAGCAGGACTAAATAGGGTCAAGACCTCCAGACCAGGACCAAAACCAGCATGAAACCAGGTCTGAACTAGGTCTAAACCAGGTCTAAATGTAGGACTAAACGTAGGACTAAGCAAGGGACTAGATCAGGGACTAAAACAGGACTAAACCAGGAGAATAGACCCACAGTCCAGGACTAAAGCAGGAACTAAACCAGGACTAAGTCAGGACCTTAACACGGGACTAAACATGGGACTAGCAGGACTAAATAGGGTCAAGACCTCCAGACCAGGTCTAAACAAAGACTAAACCAGGTCTAAACCAGGTCTAAATGTAGAACTAAATGTAGGACTAAACAAGGGACTAAACCAGGACTAAACCAGGACAATAGACCCACAGTCCAGGACTTAAACAAGAACTGAACCAGGACTAAATCAGGACCTTAACGTGGAACTAAACACGGGACCTTCAGGACTAAATAAAGACAAGACCTCCAGACCAGGACCTAAACCAGGTCTAAATGTAGGACTAAACCAGGGACTAAACAAGGGACTAAACCAGGACTAAACCAGGGACTAAACCAGGGACTAGATAAGGACTAAACCAGGACTAAACCAGAACTAAACCAGGTCTAAATCAGGTCTAAAACAGGTCTAAACCAGGAATAAACGCAGGATTTAACAAGGGACTAAACCAGGACTAAACCAGGACTAAACCCGGTCTAGATCAGGTCTTGCGTGTGTGTTGGTGTGTCGTGTTTCGGCGCAGACTCAGAGTCTTGGTGTTTTTTTTGTTTTTTTTGAGGAAGTAAAAGTGTGAATATTTGTCTCATGACTGAAACTGTGACTCGAGTAAAAGTTTGTGTCGTGATCCACAAATAAACGAGAAAAACAAACACGAACACGATACAGAAACAAACATCCAAACCAGAACCACAGACAGAACCACAGACAGAACCACAGACAGAACCACAGACAGAACAGACACAGACAGACAGAACCACAGACAGAACCACAGACAGAACCACAGACAGAACCACAGACAGAACACAGACAGAACCACAGACAGAACCACAGACAGAACACAGACAGAACCACAGACAGAACACAGACAGAACCACAGACAGAACAGACAGAACACAGACAGAACACAGACAGAACCACAGACAGAACCACAGACAGAACCACAGACAGAACACAGACAGAACACAGACAGAACCACAGACAGAACACAGACAGACACAGACAGACACAGACAGAACCACAGACAGACACAGAACCACAGACAGAACCACAGACAGAACCACAGACAGAACCACAGACAGAACCACAGACAGAACACAGACAGAACCACAGACAGAACACAGACAGAACCACAGACAGAACCACAGACAGAACCACAGACAGAACCACAGACAGAACACAGACAGAACACAGACAGAACACAGACAGAACAGAACCACAGACAGAACCACAGACAGAACACACAGACAGAACCACAGACAGAACACAGACAGAACCACAGACAGAACCACAGACAGAACACAGACAGAACACAGACAGAACCACAGACAGAACCACAGACAGAACCACAGACAGAACACAGACAGACAGAACCACAGACAGAACACAGACAGAACACAGACAGAACCACAGACAGAACCACAGACAGAACCACAGACAGAACCACAGACAGAACAGACAGAACACACAGACAGAACCACAGACAGAACACAGACAGAACACAGACAGAACCACAGACAGAACACAGACAGAACCACAGACAGAACCGAGCAGAACCTTTAGAACGTTTCCTGAATGTGTTTAGGACGACCTGGATCAGAACAAGAGACTAGAACACACATGGACCTGGTTTAGATCTGGTTTAGTCTTTGTTTTTGTCCTGGTCTGGAGGTTTTGACCCTATTTAGTCCTGGTTTAGTTCTGGTCTAGTCCCCTGTTAAGTCCCACATTTAGTCTGAGTTTAGTCCAGGTTTAGTCCTGGTTTAGTCCCTCACTTACATCCTTGTTTAGTCCCTGTTTCGTCCTGCTGTGGGCGTCTACAGTCCTGGTCTAGTCCTACGTCTAGTCCTGCATTTAGACCTGGTTTAGTCCTGGTTTAGTCCTGCATTTAGACCTGGTTTAGTCCTGCGTTTAGACCTGGTTTAGACCTGGTTTAGTCCTGGTTTAGTCCTGCATTTAGACCTGGTTTAGACCTGGTTTAGTCCTGGTATAGACCTGGTTTAGACCTGGTTTAGACCTGGTTTAGTCCTGGTTTAGACCTGGTTTAGACCTGGTTTAGACCTGGTTTAGTCCTGGTTTAGACCTGGTTTAGACCTGGTTTAGACCTGGTTTATTCTCTGGTCCACGTGTTCTTATATGTGTGTAATCCCTCAGTGGTCCAGGTCTAAACCAGGACTAAACCAGGACTAAACCAGGACTAAACCAGGACTAAAACCAGGACTGAACCAGGACTGAACCAGGACTAAACCAGGACTGAACCAAGACTGAACCAGGACTAAACCAGGACTAAACCAGGTCTAAACTGAGGATCACACAGATATAAAGACACATGGGAAAGAAAATAAAGATTTTTATAATTTAAAGTGTAAAATCAGAGGATCTTGTCTAAACAAAGTGAGTTTATTTCACTTTTATTGTTCAGAACATGAAAAATAAATTGTTTACTCGAGTTTTTTGTTTTCATTTTGAGAGTTTTTGAGTTAAATGTGTGAATGAAACAAAACAAACTCCAGACTCCAGCTCGGTTTGTGTTTGTGTTTGTGTTTAGGACTTTAGTCCAGATCACAGGATTATGGATTATTTTAGATTTTTCATTTAATTTTAAATCCTCTTTCTAAAAATATTTGTGCAGATCTTCTTGTCGTGAGTCGTTCTTTGTTCTTAATCTCAGTGTTGTTCAGGATTATTTTGCTTCATCGATAAACGTGAACATTGTTCTGGTCGCAGTAAAATCATCAACGTTTCACAAGCAAATTTCACTTTTCTGTTCGACTGGACTCAAAAACATCAAACTGAAAAAGTCCACAACTCCTCTTCTCCTGTCATCCCTCTCTCCTTCTTTTCCTCCTCTTCTCTCCATCTTTCATCACTCTCTCCCTCTCTCCTTTCTCCTCTCCTCTCCCTCCAGCTTTTTGTTGAAGGATTCCTCACGTTTCTCTCCCTCGTTTCTCTCCTTTCTCCCTCGTTTCTCTCCTTTCTCCCTCGTTTCTTTCCTTTCTCCCTCGTTTCTCTCCTTTCTCCCTCGTTTCTTTCCTTTCTCCCTCGTTTCTCTCCTTTCTCCCTCGTTTCTTTCCTTTCTCCCTCGTTTCTCTCCTTTCTCCCTCGTTTCTTTCCTTTCTCCCTCGTTTCTCTCCTTTCTCCCTCGTTTCTCGTTTCTTTCTTTCTCCCTCGTTTCTTTCCTTTCTCCTCGTTTTTCCTTTCTCCCTCTTCTTTCTTTCTCCCCTCGTTTTCTCTTTCCTCGTTTCTTTCCTTCTCCTTTCTCTCCTTTCTCCCTCGTTTCTTTCCTTTCTCCCTCGTTTCTCTCGCTTCTTGCTTGTTTCTCTCCTCTCTTCCTTCTCCATCTTTCTCCCTCGTTTCTTTCCTCTCTCCTCTCCCTCTCTCCTCTCTCCCTCGTTTCTCCCTCTCTTCCTCTTGTCTGTTTCTCTCTCTCCTCTCTCTCTCCCTCTCTTCCTCTCCCTCTCTCTCTCCCTCTCTTCCTCTCGTCTGTTTCTCTCTCTCCTCTCTCTCTCCCTCTCTCTCTCTCTCTCTCTCTCCCTCTCTTCCCTCTCCCTCTCTCTCTCTCCTCTCTCCTCTCTCTGTTTCTCTCTCTCTCTCTCCGCTCCCTCTCTCTCTCCCCTCTTCTT